CTTTTGTCCAAAAAAAAATTTATATTTTACATGTACATCATTTTATGTAAAATGTGTGTATTCGTATTTGGTTTACTGCATTGAAACAACAGGTTGTGAAAAATCACTCGCCTCACATAGAGCAATTTATATGTTCTAGAAAATCTGTAGTTTGTCATTGTTTAATATTTCTTCATCCCTTCTTTAAAAAATGCATTTGTGAAACCTTAATTTGGGTTTTACGATCTGATACTGCAGAGGTGACTAAGCTTCCTGGCAAGGCTTCGACTTTATAATAGCGTGACTGTATGTCTCGTGAATACTTAAACCAGCTATTAAACATCTCGGCTGACGTCCTCGGCCACTTTTGTAAGGTTACTATATATGTCAGTGAATCAGCATCTGTGCTAAAACTGTGTTGCTTTTGTATAACTTCGTACTAATTGCATTTAGATGTCTGCCATTGTTTTGTAACTTTTGTAATCAAATTCAATCTTATTTTAACGTTTTTAAAGGTATTTGGCTGTTACTTGTAGGAAAAAATTAACGTTTTTTTCATAACCTGCACATGTTTTTTTTGATAATCATGCAAGTTAAAATCCACTGTACAATACGCTGACGTTTTTGAATCCTTAAAATGTTTATTTTTCATTTGGACGATCAAGATGGTGAGACGACAGTGTTACAGAGGAGGGAAGTAACCGTTTTGTTTTGGAGGTCCCCAGGTGGGACAACGGTAAGTTTACAGACTTACAACGCCAAAATCCGGGGTTCGATCCCCCGCGGTGGACACAGCAGAGAGCTCAATGTGGCTTTGTACTAAAATAAACCAACGAACAGTTGTTCTGGAGCCCTTATGAGTAAAATAAATTGGAAACCGCCAGTGCACGTCCGAAGCTGTTATTAGAGGTTTTTCATAAAAGAAAGTATAAAATTCTACTTTTAATATTTACATATAATATTTAATCAAATATATTAAATAGTACATGAAAAAAGTGAACTTTTGAAACGAGCGGAATTTTGTGTACCTATTCATTATTTTTACTCAGTCTTAGACGTCTCGGCCGATCATTATGAGATAATTATATGCAGGATAGGTGCATTGATTGGTTTTGTGTTTGCACGTGCATATTATGCTTAGGTTTGTGCCTGTGTAATTGTGCTAGTAACAATTTAAACTAACTGCACATTTTCATTCAATTTACTAGGAGGTTCGCTAAATATCGATGCATTTAGCCCAGAATATAAAAGTACTAATAGGGAAGCTGGATGAAGTACTTACCTTTACACATGCAAGTTGTTTAACTGGAAGAAGTATGTATATAGAATTTTCCCAATTCATCAGTTATGGTGCGAGATTTCTGACGCTCAACATTTCTGAAAAGTACTATAGCGTAAATATGCTGCTTCGAAAAGCAGCAACGGCCTTCGAGCGTGATAAACATGTGCAGTACGTGCATCAGCTGGTTATAAGGGAGCGTTAGAGCTGCCTTTGTTCCAAGATAGATAAATAGAGAGAGAGAGAGAGAAAGAGAAAACTAACTCGGAGCAAACCGTACTAGCAGAAACAGGTTGGGATAATTCTTTCTGTGGAAATTTAACGCTCTGTAAGATGTAATCTTCTTTGTAACACGTGTATGTGTTTACCGGATCTTTTAAATGAAGGTAACACACCATAGTGTTCTGAAATATGTCGCAAGCGAAACGATGAAAGTTGATATTTTTAAGTTTGGAAACAACACGCTAACGGATAAGTTGTTAACCGAAAGTATAGATAGGTCGGGACCCATTTGTAAACACTGATGGCCAGTCGCGAATTAGCAAATAGCTTTAGTTCAAAAAACATCTGGCTTACCGAATACTATCTATTTCCAAAGGCTGCCATGACACATTTCTTGTCTTAATTTTGCGTCGCGACCTATGGGAGGAGAAACGCTGGTAAAGACTACAAGCAGGGTTACTACCTCTCTTGATTAATTACGTAACATACAAACTGGAGATTCTTCAGCCAGACCATTACCCCAAAATTGTGGTAATTGTAGTTAAATCTAGTAGTTAAAATGGCGAGAATAACTTGTATACGAGTTTTTCATGTTTCCTGAAAGACGATGGTTGAAATAATTCCTATCAAATTAATACTTTCATATCTCTCTCTCTTTGCACCAAACCTGCTCGCCCTTTCAGCCATGGGGGCATTATAATGTGACGGTCAATCCCACTATTCGTTGGTAAAAGAGTAGCCCAAGAGTTGGCGGTGGGTGGTGATGACTAGCTGCCTTCCCTCTAGTCTTACACTGCTATATTAGGGACGGCTAGCGCAGATAGTCCTCGTGTGTCTTTGCGCGAAATTCAAAACAAACAAACTCTCTCTGCATGTGTGTGTGTGTGTAAGGGGATTTGTATCTTATTTTGGTAAATAATATATACATGGTTGTCGGCTTATTATCTTTGTTTACTTATTTACTTATAATTAGCAGTTAAAGTAGAAATGAGTATTAAGGCATGCAGGGTTTGAATAGCAACACCTCTGCTGGAGAACTAAGGAGCCAGTTACTACTAACGATTTCACTATTAATAAGATGAACTGTGGGTACACACGGAGACTTGTCAAACAGTGGTTTAGACATATCAGTTTGATCAGTATATATGAACTCAAACTTTTATTATAGAAACCAACTAAGTTACACATTTGTCATCGTTGAGGGCCTTTCTTTTTGTTTGATGTAACAATGCTTCAGTTCTCGGGTACGTTTCCACCGATATTTAAAATGAATTATCAAGCTTTGCCGTTCAAATAATGACTATTTCATTCCTTCATTGATCAAGGTAAAACTTTTTTCTTCTTTTTGTAGAAGCTAGTGGCAAAACTTTGTCTTAATATTAATAAATGAGCTTACTAAGGACAAAATAACATACTCATTATATAATTTCTGTAGTGCATATTAGTGTATAGAAGACGTATTAATACTAGAAATATACGACCTTATAACACCAAAATGTTGCT